ACTTTGGGAGTCCGAGGCAGGAGGATTGTTTGAGCCCAGGAGTTTGAGACCAGCCTCAGCAACATAAGGAGACCCCATCTCTACCAAAAAAAAAAAAAAAAAAAAAAAAAAAATTAGCCAGGCATGGTGGCCTGTGCCTGTAGTCCTAGCTACTTGGAAGACAGGTGAGAGGATCCTTTGAGCCTGCCGGCTTGAGGATGCAGTGAGCCATGATTGTGCCACCGCACTCCAGCCTGGGCAACACAGAGAGACTCTGTCTCAAATAAAACAAAACACCAACATTGTTAAATGATTCCTCTGAAGGTAAAGAGGAATTTGATAGGCTCCTCTCCATGACTCACACACACTTCTCAAACTTTCTCTCTTGTTTTTCCCCCATGTGTGTTCACTGCCACTCTGAGTTTTTTGCACTTCTGTAAAAGCACAGCAGGCTAGGTAGATGGAGGATATATATAATTTTTTAATAAATGATTGAATGGTGAGGCCAATAATACTTACATTGAAGTGCTTTTGTAAGCATTAAACAAAAGAACATACGTGCAGCTCCTAGCATAGTTCCTGAAACATAGCCGACACTCAGCATATGTTACCTCCTGCTTCCTTTTCGCTTCCCTACAAGTGCAGGTGAATGAACTCATGACTCTGAACATTATTAGGATATTGTAGCTAAAGTCACTTTTTGGGAGTTATTCTCTGTCAATCTCACTATCTATTTGGTGTTTACTTCAAAAAGACACTCTGGCTTGTCTTCAATTCCCAAGAATGTGAATCTTGACACAAATTTAACTTTCTTGGGTAGGCTATCCTAAAAAAACCTATACTTTAATGTTTGTGTCAGATCCTTCCCAAATCTCTTGGAAATATCACCACATGCTCGTTATCTGATAAAGCAATAAAGAACAGCTGCATCTGAGGAAAGATGTTTCATGGGGTCTGGTTTTATTTTATTTGGGCACTTTAGGTAGATGGGGTCATTAGGAGGATCTGAGAGTTTTAGAATAGCTAGCTGCTGCTGCTGGTCGCTAATTCTCAAGATATTTTCTTCTTGCTATAAAATGCTTTCCTTCTCACACCAGATTTCATAAAGGCCTTCCATCTGGTCTGCACTGATAACTAGAAATCCAGAGATGTTCATTCCTCTTACAACTTGTAGTTAAAAATGATCCAGATGCAGGATTAGGTTTTACAGCCTCTTCTAAAGGATTTTGTCTTCCTAATCCTATAGCTGCATGTGGTGAGAATTGATCAACATGAGGGAGTGCTAACAATAAACCTATTAAAGTGTCCAGTTGGCTATGTGTACTTTTCATTTGACGTGTTTTAGGGCAATACAACAACGGGACAAAAACACTGACATCTATTTGGGTAAGGACTGCAGTAAACCAGATAATCCACAGTGGATAAGAGAAATAAGAGAAAATAAGAGAACTAAAAAAGAAAGACAAAATTACAGTCAATCTGTATTAGAAAGAGGGTTCTCAAGAATTTTATCAATTTGTTGTGATCCAGGAATATGACAATTGATTGAATGATCTCTATAAATTCTGGTTCTCAGTTTCTTAATCCACAAAATGTGAGAATGAATAAAAAGTAGCTGGGATTTTGATGAAAGTCCTTTCCTCGCCAGGAAGATGAACTTTGATAAGTTGACTGACCTAAGCCCCAAATTTAGGGGCCACAATACCGGTTTTAGAAAATGATTCGGGGAGGAAAAAACAAGAGAGAAATAAGTCATTCTAAAGTGCTGCTGCCCCATTTCTCTTCCCTGTTCATCTATCCCCTCGTCACTTATGATGGCACACTCATCTTCAATGTTTTCCTGGGGTTTATGTTCATATAATTTCACACATAATAAAAATCTGGTAGGTGGAGAAGAAAGGAGCATAAAGCATGAGATGCTAAACTCACCTCTGCCTTGAGATGGCCTTGATAATTTATGACATAAAAAATAAGTTCCTATTTGGTAGAAAGTCAGCCTTTGATCAGTCTCAAGCTTATTTTTTTGTGTAAATAAGCTTGTAAAAATAGAGGGAATGCTTTCCCACATTGGAGTATTAGATTTGATCTTTCACTTTTAAAGAGTAGTGTAGAAATAGAATTCCAAGGTGGGCAATAAAACAAACATGAAAAAAAAATGACCTGTGTGTAAAAGTGAGATGTAGGGAATTAGACACTTGAGTAATGAGAAGATGACAGAAAAGTTCAGGGCCTGAGGCTTTCTGCAAAGAGATCCACTTTCTTTTTCTTTCTTTTCTTTTCTTTTTTTTTTTTTTTTGAGACATAGTCTTGCTCTGTCACCTAGGCTGGAGTGCAGTGGCATGAACTTGGCTCACTGCAACTTTGGTTTTCTGGGCTCAAGCAATCCTCTCACTTCAGCCTCCCAGGTAGCTGGGACTACAGGTGCACACCACTATACTTGGCTCATTTTAAAATGTGTTGTAGAGACGAGAGCTCATTATATTGCCCAGGCTGGTCTTGAACTCATGGGCTCATGTGATCCTCCCGCCTTGGCCTCTCAAAGTGTTGGAATTACAGGTGTGAGCCATCATGCCTGGCTGAGATCTACTTTTCATTTGAAGCCTTGGTATCTTGGAGGTGGTGGGGGTAGCATATTGAGCCCACCTGGGGAATGGGCGGTGCTTGATCCAGGTGGGAACAATGTGCTGCCAATGATATATCTTGCTTCCCTCTTCAATAATAACCCAGCAGGAAATGGAAATGCACTGCAGTGTTACCTGAACTAGAGACGTATCCTAGATTTTGTCTCTTCTTTGGTACCACTTCTGAGAAATTCTGACTTTGTTATCTTCCTCAAAAGAATGGAAACTTATTTATATGATTGCTTCTGACCAGGCATCAATAACAAGAAATGGAGAGCAAATACTTTGTATAGACACCAGAATGGCTAACAAAGGTGACATCATGCTGAGTTGCAAGGAAGGCACCATTCCCTTGGGCAAATGTTGAGAGACATGAGCCATCCTCTCCATGCACTTGATCTGGGACTATGCCTTGAATGAAGTCATTATGGCAGAAGAGGAAAGAATGAAAACTTGAGCTTACTATGTTTGTGATGTTGATTTCTGTGGAATTTAAAATTTGTTAGCTGGTGGATACACATTGTTAATTTGAATACTCTTCATTATAAAAATAATCTGCTAAGTTTTCATCCTTGGAAATTGTTATGAAAGCAAAAACAGTCACCTAAGGGAATATTTGAACATCCATATACCTAATGACTAGAGTCATGGCTACACTTTAAAAGGCTCCTTTCTAGTTGTCATTAGAAATCTCAGTTGAGATCTATAGCAATCCTTGGAGCTTCTGCAGCCCATATCAGGTGATGATGACACAATAATTAAGTTCTATCAACAATGGTGAATCAGGATTTGATTGAGTTTCTCTGTATAGCTCTCATAGTGATGAAATACCTGGGCAGAAGTACTTCTCCCACCTCTATGCAGCAAAATAGTTAGTGGTGAGGTGCTATGCAATTTTAAAAATGAGCAACATACTCTGTTTTAAATATGATACAGAAACTGATCTGAGTCCCACCTGGGAGGTGAGCTTCATCATCACAACTCCGTGGGCTGGAGGCTAAAGCTCTGAAGGGAGAAAAAACCGAGGTAGGCATATTTTGTGCTTTTGTTAAATGGGCCTCAAACGCCTCCAGTCATTTATTTGTTGAAGACAGGGTCATCTTATTGAATTCAGCAGGAAAACAACTGTACCAGAAAGAGAAAAGCTGTCTCAATCTTCTCTGTATTTCAAAGGTATTTCACATATGCTCCTCATGAAGGAGACCGCACAGGGAATCAGACCCCGGTGCCTGCTTTGCCTCTCTTGCACAGGGTTAAGTAAGGGAAGCCCCTGACTCACAAGTGCATCCTGGCTGTTTAAGGTTATGCATATTGTGTCTGAATGTATAACCATGGTAAATATATATTCTGGAGCAATGTTAAATTCAGCTTAGGACGATGTACTGCTTAGAGTTTTGAGGGAAAACATAAGAATGATGAAATGAGCCTAAATTATTTTTGAAAAAACACTGCTCTCCTAACCCATTTGACGATCTATTACTTCCTTCTGGGCTGCTCCCTTCCCAAGAGATTTGGTACAGGAGGCAAGGAAGGACAATAAGAGAGGTTAGGAAGAAGCACCTTGGGATGCTGACACCCTCTGCCTTATCCTTCTAACTCAAGGACAAGCAGCATTGGGTTGAATACAAGGTCCTTTCTTCCAAAACTGGGCACAGGCAGAAACATACATATAGATGCAAAACCACTATGATCCTGTGATAGGAGCTGGAATCACTTCCCTTTAAACTCAATTTCCTTTCATTTTCATTAGGTAGGGGGCCAGCCTCTCACCTTGCAGTGTTGGGTGGAGATGGCTTAAGATCAAACTTCTCATCTTAACTCTTACTTCCAAGATTTATTTTGTATTAAAAAAAAAAAATGAGCCTGTCCCGTTACCTCCTCACCTGGGTATTTTATCAGGACTGAGCACATAGTTATTTTCTGAGGGCTGGAGCAACCTGCAGTCCTTTCTAATCAAAGATTTTTTAATCAGCTGGCTTTGAAATCACACCGTCCTCCCGGGGTCCCTGGAGCACACCACCTCCCTGTGATTTCTACTCAAGTTTTCCCCGGCACCCCCCAGCACCCGTTCCATACCTATTTAATCTTTAAACTGCCTCTAATCCTTTTGCAAGGAAGCGGGATGAAATGCTCAAACCACAGTTACACACGATGTTGATTCTCAGGTTCACACATTTGAGGAATTGTTTGAACAAGAAATGCGCTCAGTACTATAATCCAGGGGGCAGGCACGGTGCCTGGGCGACCCTCATAGTCTCCCTCCGACACCCCGCATCCCAACTCCCGCCGCCTTTGCGCCTCAAAGCTGGCAAACATTCCCAAGCCAGATCTAGAGTACCTGGAGTGGGTGCGGGTAAGAAGAGGAAGCCAAGGTCATCCCGGAAGGTGTGCGCCCCTCACCTTGTGGATGGTGCGTGCAGCCGTGCCGCACTGGGCAAACTGGGGCGTCCCGCTGGCTCCAGAAGTCTCACTCGGAACCCGCTCCTTTTTCTCCTGAGCTGGATCAAAGCACTGCTTTTCTCAACATTCGATTCAGGAATGCGTTGAACCCAGGGCGTTCTCCCCGCCAGCGTCCTTGCCCGCGCCAGTGCCCGCCGGGGTGCGGCGAGACAGAACCTGGGAGCGCGGCGCGCCGGGCAGCCCGAGGCACCGCGGGTGGCAGGCACTGCGCTTCGCCGAGTCTGGGCGCCTGGGCTGGAAGAGGAGGCGACAGAGAGAGAGAGAGAGGGGAAGAAAGAGGAGGAGGAGGAGGAGCAGAAGCAGGGGCAGGGGCAGTCTGCTAAATCATCTACGCAGGTCGCAGCCTCCCAGGACACCGTGAACAGAGAGGGGGGTCGGGTGGGGGTGGGATGAAAAGATGAGCCCGGGTGTGAGGCAGGTGGTGTTGTGAACTGGAGGTCGCAGCTCCGAGGTGCTCCAGGTCTTGCTTAGGTTGTAAAAGAGATATTATTGAGCTGATGGCGCCTTAGGGCTCCCGGTTGCAAACACTAGAGGGCAGGGCTGTCCGTGTTATAAACGGGGCCTGCGGGGTTGCCGGTGTGTGCAAGGGACTCACCTCCTGAGCCCCTTGCGGGCCACAGCCCTGGCGGAGAAGGGGAAAATAGATGCAACAAGGGGGCAGACCCTACTCCCCTCTTCTGCAGAGAACCTGGGTTGAGGAGGGAGAGGAACAGCGGTTGACAGATTTGCACGCCTTCTCTGCGGGGCTCCAACAGGCAAACCCTCTGGAGGTGCATTTCTTAGCTTTCCTCCAGGGGAGATTACAGTCAACATCCACAGAACGCCTCAAGGAGAGAGATTACAAGGAAGGGGTGAGGGAGAAGTGGACGAAAATTGGGGTGGGTCAAAGTGGAAGTGGGGAAGAGAGATGGGGAAAGCAGAGAAGAAAAGGAGACGGAGGATGGAGTGGTTGGGGCTGAAAGACCTGGTGAAGCAGCCTTGCCTTTTTTTTTTTTTAGGGAAGTCTACCTGGGTGCCATCTCAGGTTGGCAGAGGGCTTTGTGCTCTTCTTAGGGTGCCAGGGCTGTTCTTTTTGATGTGCTGCTGCGGCAAGGTCAGAAAAGTTAAGCTGGAAGGGACTTTACAGAATCCTGGCAATGCTAAAAGAAGCTTCCTTAGGGCTGGTTGGTTATTCTCTGTGGAGAACTTGGGCGACTCAACTTTGAAGCTTAACATGGATCGAGTCCCTGCCATTGTAAAAAAAGAAAATCAGATTGTTCAGACTAGCCATAAAATGAACTAGACAATCTTATGGAGAGAGTATGGTCTGTAGACAACCTGATACACGCATCTTAGAGTTGGAAGGACCTTGGAAATCATGTAGGCAACTTGGGTAGCTTCCCCAAACACCTGCCTCACACTTTTCTTTCTGGTTTGCAGCCTTATGGCTGATCTGAAAAGCACTTTAAGTTATTTATTTATTTTTTGAAGTTTGGCAATTCTAAACCAAATGAAACCCTTCTTAAGTTCAAAAAGCAAGCCTACGTGCCCTTCCTCCTGCCTTCTGGAGTGCCTCTCAAGGCCAGCAGCGGCTGACTGATGGATGTCAGGGGAATTTCACTGAACAAGAGAAAGGAAGATTGGTAAACTATAGTCTTGAATTGTGATTTGCTTCTGTTAATCCCATTAAACTGAGAATAGGCTTAAGTAGACTGAAGTCTAACAGGAGGATGAGGTGGAAATATGTTTTTCTACTAAAGATGACACAGCTTGAAGTTTGTTTGATGATAAAGGTATTATGTAAAAATAAACAGAACAAGAATCATTCCTCATTTAAAAAAAGAATCTTATAGGACTGAAGTTTTTTTAGATATTCCAAGAGAGTAAGTAAGGACATTGTCCTACTCTGGCAAATTTGGAGTTCCTCCAAAATATAAAGGAAATATGAGTTTGTTAAATTCCTTTTTAAAAAAATTGATTTACCTATTTTTTGGTTATTACAATGTAAAGAACTATGGAAACAAATATTATACACTTGGAAACGATCCTGAGCATACCTCAGAATACCCGCTTTTTGGCAGATGTTCAGCTTTATGAAGTGTCTGATTATTTTCAAGCTATTAATTAACTTCTGGCATATATTTCACCAGTTTTAATAAAATCAATGCTCTCTTAGTCAAGAGCTGATAATTCAATTTGTATTACCCATTTGAATTTCCAGTGGGCTCTATGAGTGCTTTAAGATTGTAGGTATACATCCCCATTTCATAATAGAGAATTCCTTGTCACTTAAAAAACTATAAGGATTGCATGGAGCCCTGGACATCTGGCATAAAAAATTCATCAACTTGCAGCAGGAACTAAAAAGTCATTATGAAGAAATTATCAAATCCACTCATTCGTTAATTCAAAAAATGTTGATAAATATCTACCGTGTTTGAGGCACAAGGCAACTTCTAGGACTAAAATAACGAAGAAACAGTTTATTCTCTCAGTGGGAAGACTGAGTCCCAAACTAGTAAATCCATTCCAGAGTAACAGTTTGGAGAAGGGGGAAGTACAGGATATTATGGGAGCACAAAGGAGGGCAATCTAATCCAGGTTTTAGGACTAGGGAGTAATTGCTGGAAGTGGTGCTGGCAGTGGTGGTGTGTATAGGTGGTGGGGTGGTTGATAGTGGTTGGGAGAGGGAAAAATAATGAACAATGGATTCCCTCCATCTCCTAGACAATCCTAATTACATTTGTTAACTTTTCACTTGGATGCTAGAACTTCACATTAATGGATGAGGAAGCAAGCATGCACATGGTACATTTTTCTGCTAGAAGTAAGACTACAAGTTTTGTGAGGCAGGAACTGTGTATAACTTGTTCATCACATGATTACAGAGAAGAATCAAGATTCTGGTTGACATTGTCTGTCATTTCCTACCTCTACCGTGGAAATGGGAATGAAACATGAAGGGAAGGTGCTATGGTGGTGAGGGAGCTCACACCATCCTAGGTGCTCTCCATACACTATTCCGCTAAACAATTTCAACAACCCTGTGACATAGTTCTCTCATTTTACTGCTGATTTCAGAGACTGAGCTTCAAACTGCATTTTATGTCTGTGGTGTGACAAAGGCCAGAGGGAGAGAATGAAATGTTTATAGGTAGGTTTTAACATTTGTCAGCTTTCAGGAAGTTATGCTAAGGTAACCAAGCATAACCCTCAAATCTCAGTGGCTTGCTATGGTAGAAGTTAGTGGCTTGCTAATAAAGGTATTAGCCGTGGATTGTCTGCAACTGCATTTTGGGATCCAGACTGAAGAAGCCAGGCCATTTTCATGGTAGAGGGAAGAGTAATGGCGGAACATCACAGTGGTTCTTAAGGCTTCAGCTGAATTATGAGATAAATCACTTATGCTCACATTCCATTGGCTAACCCAAATCATATGGCTAAGCCTGATGTCAAGTGAATAAAAAGCAGGCTTCCTCCACTGGGAAGGATTCCAGGGAGGGCTTCTGTAGAGATGGGCCTGAGAGTCACAATATTTTGTGAATAAATTATTAAATTGACAACAATCTCCAGCAATGCTTTTGAATGAAGGCATTTTCACTACAAAATGTTTTATTTGCAGATACTATTGGCTAACTGTGTTCACCAACCTTATGATACAGGGAGCAAAATAATGAATTTAGGTTGATTAGCTTAATCAACTAGAATATAGCTTAATTGATTAGAATACAGCTTAATTGATTAGAATACATCATCTAGATCTAAACTGTTCAGGGAACAGTTGGCAAGGTGGCCTTGTGCTGAGAAAAAGCTCTACTCTCTGACCAAAAACTGGCTCTTACTCCCTGTTGGCATGTGCTAATATTTGTTCCCAGGAGGAAATATTAAGGCAGACTTGGTGGAACAAACCTCAAGCGCTAGTGATCTTGACAGTGGTTCATGATCAACACATTTTTTCATCAAAAGTAATCATGAGAAGCAGCTCACTTACTCATGAGTAGAAATAGTTGATACATTTTCAATAACGATTTCTTGAACACCTCCCACCTGGAAGTTTGAAAGAGATGTAGGGCTTGGTCCCTTCTCTAAAAGAACTAAAAACCCAAGGTAGGTGAAGGCATTTACATGAATGACTACATGAAGGAGCTGAAGGAGCAGAGAAACCTCTGTGGAGGAATTGGGGCTTTGGAAAGATATGTAGAGTCTGAGTAGGCCCTGTTTGTGTAGGGCTAATTTTTCCGTCTTCCTGCCTTCCAGAGCATGTTTCTCTGTGCTCCAGGGAGCTATCACTATGTGGCATGCGTGTGCATCTGGGGACTCACCAGCCTAACCCTTTTCTCAAATGGACAGGCCAGAAGCCCTGTGTTATGACCATGTGGGCTAAACAATTATGTCCCTTTGCCTTTATGTTCTTTTTTATTTTCATTTTTATGAATTTTTCGTTTTTGTGGGTGTATAGGAGGTATATATATTTATGGAGTACATGAGATGTTTTATTACAAGCATGCAATGTGAAATAAGCAAATCATGGAGAATGGGGTATCTATCCATCCCTTCAAGCATTTATTCTTTGAGTTACAAACAATTAAATTATACTCTTTATTTTAAAATGTACAATTAAGTATTATTGACTACAGTAACCCTGTTGTTCTATCAAATAGTTGGTCTTATTCACTCTTTCTATTTTTTTGTACCCAAGTCCCTGTATTATTAAATAAATAACTTACAAGTGGAAACCATGAAGGCACAAAAAACAAGCAGTGTGCAGATCAAGGTTTGGAAACTGGTGTGAAGGACAGGGTGGTTGCTTGTGAAACTGACACCTATTCATGCATAGGCATCCTTGTAATGGAGAACTTCTTTGTTTCTGCCACTCCTGAGTCCTAGTCAAAGCTGGAAGTCCTTGTTATGTGTTCATAGGTAGCCTTTGGTGATTTGGGAGGTGATTCATCAATGTTAGGGCAGCTCCCTGCTTTCACCCTTCTGCTTGACAATATGTAGGCTGGTCATCAAGCATTCTGAATCTGAACTTCAGGGTTCAGATTCCAGCTTCACTACTTACAGCAGAGTGACCTTAGGCCAACTTATTGTACATTTGTCTCAGTTTCCAACATCTCTAGAATGGGGATAAGTCTTGTACGAGGGTTTCTTACATGAGACAGTGCATTAAAGTTCATGGAACAGTGGCTGGCACACAGTAAGTAACGGGTGTTAGCTATTGCTATGATCTTTTCCTTTTTATTTACTGAGTAAGAAGGAGATTCATTTCTAAGATTATTTTTAATGTCTGTGCCTCTGGTTTCTGACTCTTTTCTTCCAGCCTGCATATAGATATTCTCTAGCCTAAATATTCCCTGTACACTTTTCTACTCCCCACTTTTTCTTGAATCTCTCTCTCATCTATATTATCTTTGCCTCTATTTGCCATTACCATTTAACGTCCTGAAAAGAAAAAGAATTCATGGTCAGCATTTCTTCTTCCTTACCTCTCACTCATTCCTCAACAAACTGAATATA